GAATAGTGTGGGACTAAGCGAGCACCCCTGTCTCAATCCCTTTATCGTCCAGAATACCTCACTTTAACTCTTCCCCCACTTTAACCTTGGCCATCGTCTCCCTGTACATCTCCTTCACCTTCCCTATCAGTTGTTCTGTTATACCACTCTTCCTCATTTCCTCCCACAACTTCTCTCTATCCACGTTATCGAATGCAGCCTTCAGGTCAATAAACAATCCATACAGCTTTCCCCCCTTCTTGTTCAACTCCCTATCTACCAGGTGTTTAAGAATGTATATATTGTCAATTGCCCCTCTTCCCTTCCTGAATCCTGCCTGCCCATCCGGCAACAATTCTCCCCTCTCAATTTCCTCTTCCAACCTCCCTAGTAGTATCTTTGCATACATTTATAACGAAATGTATGCCTAACTTATACTAAATAAATCCTAAACAAAAATTAACTAATCGCGGAATCTCACCGGTTTTTGTATTTTCTGATTTGAATGTCTCAAAACAACCGGAGTTTCTCTTCTATCTTGTTCTACAGTCTGATCTACATATCCTGGTGAATTCCAATCAACAATTTGATTCAAATGTCGTCTCCACTCCATTTGTATTTCCGGAATCCACACTATATACGAACGTGGTCCTAAAATTTTTAAATTTTTCCCGGAATCCAACTCTTTTTTGAAAACCTATAGTCTCTAGTTAACGTTATAAATTGTCAATAAACGTTGTCATCAATGTTTTTAATTTGTTTATTTTATAATTTTGGTTTAATTAAATCTATATAATATAAATACAATAAAAAGCAATACTTTTTCTGGGCTTTCACAATTTATTGTCTAACCGGTTTCGGCTTACGCCATCATCAGAGATATTAGAAATATAGATTTTAACAACTTATTTTCCATTTAGTTGTTCATATAAACGGCTTCACAAAGGTATACAAGTTAAAATTATAAATATAAACACATTAAAACTTACGTTAAAAGTTAAAATTTACAAGTCAAAATATAAAACAATACTATAAAACTTGGATTGACCGGCATTAATTAAATCTAGTCTAGTTTTTAATTTTCTTCCCACTAACAAGTCTGCTGGTGTCATTGAAGTAGTGCAATGTGGTGTATTTCTATATACTAATAAAAATTTATTTAATATCAAATTTAATTGTTCATCAGTTCTCCTCGTTCCACTTCTTTTAGCACGTTTAATAGTTTTTACGGCATTTTCGGCTAATCCGTTCGTTGCTGCACGGTATGGTGGTGAGGTTTTATTTTCTAAAATTTGTTGCGTTATCTGATACGACACAATCTGGAAATCCAAATCTAACAAAAATACATCTTAAAATTTTAATTTTTGTTTCTGAAGTAATGGAATTTCTTACAAATCTTCTATCCATTTTGTATGTGAGTACAAAAATATACTTTTCCCCAAAAATTGGTCCCAGATAATCGATATGTAGTCTCGACCAGGGTTTATTTGTCTGCTCCCATGGTATCAATTTAGCCAATGGTGGATTATCTCGACAACTAACACATTTAATACAGCTTTTCACTGAATTTTCAATGTCTTTGTTTATATTTGGCCACGAAAAATACGATCGAACTAAATTTTTCACTTTTGTCATTCCTAAATGTGCTTCTGTTAATATGTTTTGTCTTAAATTTTTAGGTATAATAATTCTTTGTCCCCACAATAAAATATCGTCTTGTATTGTCAATTCCTGTCTATTACAGTAATAAGGTTTTAAATTCTCATCTTTGATTGCATAGTCTGGCCATGGTTTCCCATGCACAAATTCTTTAACTTGTTTTAGTACCTCGTAATTATTTGTGTTTTCTTTTATTTTATTAGCGTCTATCAGTAAGTTTTCATTTTCATAATAATCATAAATCATTTAAATTAAGTAATGATTTTCTAGTACAGCTTCTTATAGTTCTTTTTTAATAGGAAGTCTTGAAAACACATCTGCCACATTCTTACTGCTTTTTACGTATTCTATATCATAGTTATAACTAGCTAATATCAATGCCCATCTTTGCAATCGATTTGCTGCATACTGAGGTATTCCTTTATTCGATCCGAATATTGTCAGTGCTTTATGATCGGTGCACAAGGTAAATTTTGGACCATATAAATATTTAAACAATAAGTGGAAATAATATAAACGTGTATGTAACATATAAATGAAACACAACCAACCCCGGGACACAACCGGGACCCGGCGCTGCTAATTTTTCCTTTCAGTTATTCCTGTCCTTGGCGTGTAAAGGTGTCCTTCCTTCTGGTTGTGTTTCATTTGTACATATAAATATTGTTGAAAATGTAACACACCAAAAATTATTGCTAAGCTTTCCTTTTGGACTTGACTATACTTTATCAATTTTATGGCTCAAGTACTCAATAGAACTTTTAAAAAATTCATACTCGTCTTTACTTACTGTCAGTCCACAATCTTTTATCTGTTTCAATACTGCCCTTACGCGTTCAACATGTTATTCTCTCGATGTTCCCGTTATTAAAATATCGTCCAAAAAACAAACTACTCCCTCTATTCCTTACAAAACGGTTTCTATTATTCTTTGAAATATTACTGGACATGATGCAATACCGAACGGAAGTGTTGTGTATTTAAACAACCCCTTATGCGTTGATATAGTGGTTACTGAGACTTTTCATCGATTCTTATTCTTAAATCCAATCTAGAAAATTCTATCCCACCTTGCACTATTTTGGAACAAGTATTCGATTCTCGGTAATGGATATTGATCTATAATGATCTCTTCATTTACAGTGATTAATTTTTTAAAATTTTTAATTTAACCAATCTATTTATTTCTTCTTCTACATTATCTCTTAATACAAATGCGACTGGCCTGGGCTTAAAAAATTTAGGTTTTGCCCCACTTTTTAAATCTAAGCAAACTGTTCCCTTTGTAAATAACCCAGGTTCATCTTTAAAAACTGATTTAACGTTTGTTTCTAGTTGTTTAAATATTTCATCATTCGAGTCATTTATGTTATTTATAACTAGATTAAAATAATAGAAGAAGTCACGTCCTAACAACTTGGTTTTACTTCTGCTTCGATTATATAAAACTTTATCATTTTATTTTTGTCTTTATACCTTACGTTGACATTAATATAACCTAACGTTTTTATTTCTTTACCTGTATAACCATATAGATTTGTATTATCTTTGACAATATTATAATTTTTGAAATTTTTTCAAATTTTGTTCATGCGCAAATTAATTTTTTTTTATGTACAACGAGAGTATTTTTACAAGTCTTCAGAGACGATTCTCGCTCTCTTTAAAACCAGATTTGATACGTGCCACACCTGTGAAATTTGGAAATGTTTGGTGATAGCCATTTTGGTAATCTAAAATTATTTGGGTTGAAATTTCCATTTTCCTTATTTGGAGGATTTATCACTTGTGTGCGAAATAGTTTGGGAAGTGATTATTTTTATTCCTGTTTACGGTTTTTCCGGATTTTCTTCGTATCATATTAAAAACAAAATTTTTATCCTAGTTAAGGCCTCGAAAACCTGAAGTAAGACTTTTCTTTTAATCCTTAATTTACAACTCTTCAACAATCTTTGCATTATTTAACAAAATACCTTTTTTTTTCCTTTTTTCTTCTCCCTTCTTTTACATTTCTATTTATTTTCCTAATTCTCTTTATTTTCGCTTTAGATCTTTTGTATTGGAGAGCTTTTTTTTTGGTTTATTTACATTTCCTGTTGGGAGAAACCATATTATTAAATTTTATATTGGGAGTCAATTTTTGGAATCCAATACTCCATCTCTTTCATCAATATCCTTTTCTAAGTTCTGGAAGGCGTTGCTGAAGAAGAAAGTTACTGGATTAGGTTCATCACAGTCAAGGTCAGATAATAACCTAAAATAAAGTAAAGAATCATAACTTAAAATTATTGTATATAATTTAGTTGCTTGTTTTTTTTGTACTCATCGCTTTTTTTTTTTTTGATCTATTGAATTAATTAGTTTTTTTTGTTTTACGAAAAGTTTTTTTTTGGGTTCTGAATATTATTTTCTTTTTGTGAGATAATTTTCATTGGCGAATTTATTTTTGATTTCGGTTTTATTTTTTTTATTACGGCTTTATTTTGAGCTCAAATATACGGAGTCGTGCGGGTTCAATTTAGGGATTTTCTTTTTTTTTTGTATTATTTTCTTTGTTCAATTGCTAATGACATTATTTTTTTTTGAATTTTGTTTTCGGAACTTTCGATAAGTAGTTTATTTCGTTTTGATTTTTTTGCGAAATTCTTAATTTCATTTTTTTTTGTTGATTTTCGTTCTTTGGGTATTATCCCAAATAAATATTATTGCAACTCAAATCGACTTCGACTTATTTTTTTTTGTTGTTGTATTTGTTGTTTTTGTCATTTGTTTACTACACTCACTTTCCCAACTTCATGTCGCGGTTCGTGGGCAATACGGGAGCAACTGTGTGGCGCCTTAAAGAAATTCTACCCAACCCAATCTCCAATTGAGCTAGGCGAGGACCCGTGTTGTGTTTGGTGTTGTAAATGTGTTGGTTATTATATGTATTTTTTGCTGTCACAAAGAAATTAAGGTGTCACAAATTTTGACGGCATTACTGAAACGCATTACTGAAAATCTCTGTTTGAGATTCACCTCCTGACTGAATTTGGGGCTCTTGTAGTGGAATTTCAGCCTCCTTGTAACCAGGAATATGTTGTTCTTCTACGGCTGGCTGAGGGTCTAAAACACTTTTTGGATTAGAATTTGTTTTAGGTATTACCTCAGTTTAGAAAAAGGTTTCAGCAGTTTTCTGCGGTATATGTCCATTATATTGCAGCAATTGGTCACGGTGACAGGTACATATTCGTCCGTTGAGCAGAATGTTGTAGTGAAGTTTACCGGTTCTTGCCATTACGGTACCGAAAATCCCATTTCTTTGCAGGATTGTTATAAATTCTTACTTGTACACCTTCACCTTCTTTTAATGGGTAATCCATTTACTCTTCTAAGGTTTTTCTTTCAGCTTTCTGCTCGGTTTTTAGTTTACTTCTAACTAAATCCAATCCTGTTACAATGTTTCTTCCAAACATTAATTCCGCTGGACTCACTTCTGTGATAGTATGTGGTGTCTTCCGATATTGCATCAAAAACCTTTGTAGACTTAGCTTGAAGTCGGTACCTTCACGCACCTGGTTGCGTAAGGTTCTCTTAATCGATTGAACGTACCTCTCCGCTTGTCCATTGGTAGCAGGATGGTAAGGAGCGGTGACTTTATGAACAATACCATTTGATTTCAGAAATTCTTTGAATTCTCTTGATTTGAAATTAGTTCCATTATCAGAAACCAATGTATAAGGCAGTCCAAATCTAGCAAAGATCTCCCTTAGCATCTCTATAGTTTTAGTTGAAGTTATCGTCTTTGTTGGAAACGCTTCGTTCCACTTTGTATAGGCATCTACTAACACAAAAATGTATCTTCCATGCAAAGGTCCAAGATAGTCGACGTGGACTCTCTGCCAACGTTTAACTGCATTCTCCCAGGGATGTACAATTACTTTTATCGGGTCATTTCTTGTTTCTGCGCATTGAATACAAGCGTGTGCCAGTTCTTCAATATCTTTATCAATCCTCGGCCACCACATATGGCTTCTTGCTAAAGCCTTCATACGCGATGTTCCCACATGTGTTGAGTGTAACTCGTCCAATATATTCCTACGCAATGATTTAGGAATTGTTACTCGGATACCTGTTAGCAGACATCCGTCTTGGACTGAAAAGTCAGTAATTTTTCCATATGGTAATTGAAATTCACTATCTCCCTGTACCGCGCAATAAATTTGTCTAAGGATATGATCCTTCTTCGTTTCCTTCTTGATCTCTTCATGACTTATTGGTAGTGTTGCTAGTTGTTTTATTTGAAATATTTTAGCTGAATCCACAGATTTATTCCTATCATTGGTCAGAATTGGAGCTCTTGATAAGTAATCTGCATTTGCGTGCAATTGTGATCTGCGATGCTTGAGTTCGTAATTAAAACCAGAAATATAATTGGCGCAGTGTAGTAATAGTATAGCTGAAGTTGGTGGTAAGTCTTTTCCTTCATGAAATATTCTAGCTAACGGTTGATTGTCGGTAATCAAAGTAAACTTTCTACCATAATAATAGACAAAATATTTCTTCAACGCCCAAAAAATAGCCGTAGCTTCTCGGTCTAACTAACTATAATTTTTCTCAGCTGAGCTAAGTGATCTGGATGCGAATGCTATAGGTCTTTCTTGTCCGTCAGACGTGGTGTGAGATATTACAGCTCCCAAACCATAAGATGATGCATCCGTAGCGAAAGTCAAAGGCAATTTATCGTCGAAAGACATTAAAATTCTTGAACTCACTAGCTCCTTCTTGATACTTTGAAATGATTTCTCACAATTCTTGATCCAGTTAAAACTCATGTTCTTCTTCGATAAATCATATATTGGTTGTAGTTTTGATGACATATTTGGTATGAATCGTTGATAATAGTGCACTAAGCCTAAGAAACTTCTAGTCTCGCTTACATTAGTAGGTGTTGGATTTTTAACGATTGCCTCAATTTTGTCGGATGATCGGATAGTCGGATGAAGTATGATATCTTCGATTCAAAAAACTTGCACTTCTTTTTATTGAGGTGAAGACCAATGTAGTCTCAGTCTTTCTAATACCTCTCTTAGTCGTACTAAAAGTTGCTTCTTGGTTCTTCCTTGGATTGCAATGTCATCGAAAAAACATACAGCACCATCCGCATCTCACAAAACCTGGTCCATAAACCGTTGCCAGGCTGCTGGAGCGGTTTTGACTCCAAACATATGCCTATTTACTCTATAGATTCCTTTATGTGTCGAGATCGCTTACATCTCAGCACATTTCTTGTCAACTGCCATGTGCAGGTATGCATTCTGTACATCTAGTGTGTAAAAATATTTTCCTCCATTTAATTTATGCAATAAATCTTCAACTCGAGGTATCGGATAACAATCTTCTTCTATTACATTATTAATGGTGGTGTTATAAGCGGCACACAAACGGATTTCTCCATTTTTCTTTCGAACAGGCACAACAGCCGTACCCCACTGAGCGTGGTCCATCTTTTCTATAACCCTTGCTTTTTCCAAGCGTTGTAGTTCCTCTTCCACTTGGTATTTAAGCGCATATGGCATTTGCCTTGGCTTGTGAAAAATTGGTTGTGTCTCTTCCTTCTTCAAACTGTATTTATAAGTGTAATTCGGAATTCGTCCTAGTTCGTCAGATAGGACATCCTTAAATTCTTGTAATATTTCTTGTAACTCATCTTGAGTGACTCTCAAAGTTGTATGCGAATGCTATAGGTCTTTCTTGTCCGTCAGACGTGGTGTGAGATATTACAGCTCCCAAACCATAAGATGATGCATCCGTAGCGAAAGTCAAAGGCAATTTATCGTCGAAAGACATTAAAATTCTTGAACTCACTAGCTCCTTTTTGATACTAACAAAACAGTAACATTCGCATCTATTGTTCGTATTTCTTTTGGATCTGCGGTAATTTTTTCCATCCAATGTTTTCCAAACACTTGTTTGAGCCAAATATGGCATCAACATGTTTCTTCAAAATGTAAACTTGACCAGTTCTTGCATAGTTCTTGTATTGTATTGGTACTTCTGCTTTCCCAATCAGTTTAATGATTTCGCCTGTATAGGTGCGTAACTGTACCTTCGTTGGTTGTAACTGTATATCCGGGCAAAGTTTCTTAAACTGTAAATTTGACATTGTAGAAACCGCAGCACCAGTGTCCAATTCCATATCGCATTTTTTTCCATTTATTTGAATTGGTAGCATTATCTTCTCCACGGATATTGAATTTAGTTGCAATTGGTTCACCATACTGTGTTCCTCATCCTCCCCTTCTTCTTCTTCAGGATTTTTATCATCTGATCCACTGCTGTCCACTTTAACTCGCTTTTGATCGCTTTTTTTCTTTTTTTTTGTAAACAGACAGCTTGTTAGTGACCTTTCTTTTTGCACTTTAAATTTTTGTAGGAACAATCCTTTGCTTTGTGGTTAGTTTTTCCACATCGAAAACATTTCCCTAGTAATTTGTATTTTTCAGCGATAATGCTGGCTTGTGGCGATAGGTAATCTCGTAAAAGTTTAATCAGCTGTTCGTATGATTTTGTATTTGGTAAGTTAGGTGCCGTTAATTTTGTAAGGGTTTGGTATATCTTCGGACTCAAACATTCAATTAGAATTCGTACGCAAAGTTGGGTTTCAGTTGCCTTATCAACGCCGCGCCGCGTAACTGTAAATGATTATCGAGCCGCTGTAAATAACAGTTGAAGTCTTCATTGTTTTCGTCATACGGTTGGAGATTGTTTCTCCCGAAATTTGTACGTTGGTTTGAATTTCGTGCATGCATTGTTGTAAGAGCATCTGTTAGCCGTTCTAAAACGTCCTCTATATCCGCCATTTCGTAAAATTATTCCACACGTAGTGTAAACGCGCCTTAATGTAATTTCAGGAAAGGAATTTGCCTAGAGGGCTTGTTGTATGTTTAATGAAACTATTGCGTAGGTTCAAACGTCTTTATTCGATCGTGTTCTTACAACGACTGCCGCTTGCATGTGGCTCTCATACATGTTACAACTAAACTGTCACTAGAGGTCGCCACTAACATTAAGATTTATAATATACAACATCTCCCTTTTTTTTTCTATCATTATTATCACTTATCACTATTACTACATACATATAATTATACTTATATTAACAACAAAACTTAACTTCTAAATTGACGTACAGAACTTATAACTAAACAAAGTCTTTATATTTTTGAGGTTTTCGTACCATTCTTTTCGGTCTTTCACTTATATTATTTTCCAATATATTCGAACTCTGTTTAACGTCATTATCATGGTTACCATTGTCATTACTAGGTTTAACTTCATGATTGTCATTATGTATTCCATAATCAGTCAAATAAAAATCCAGGACATCGTTAAACTGTTTGTCAAATTTATCTACATCATACTTACGAAGGAATCTTCGATTCCTAAGATAACATTTATCATTTTCATTTAATTTTACTATGTATGACTTTGGATGCTGTTCTGCAATCTTCACGATAACTCCTGGCTTCCATTTCTCTCCTTTTTCCAACTGCACTATTACTTTGTCATTAATATTTAATTCTTTTAAGTCTTTTGTCTTATTATTGTATGCTTCCTTGGTTCTTTCTTTTTCCATTCTCATTGTGTTTCTATATTCTTTTGTATTATAATGTGGTGTTAATTTTGATTGTGACGTGGGAATATATCCTTTTATAACTCTACCAAATAATAGATGTGAAGGCGAAGGTAAATTATGGTTCAAAGGTGAATTTCTGTATTCTAGCAAAGCTAGGTAAAAATCTTTATTATCAAAATGTGCTTTTTTCATTACATTTTTTATTATCTGCACCTGCCTCTCTATAAATCCATTCGATTGTGGATATCTAGGTGAACTTGTTCTGTGATCGATTTCCCATTCATTCAAAAATCTAATAAATTTAAAATTAACGAATTGAGGACCATTATCTGTGTATATCAAATCAGGTTTTCCATGCCTGGAAAAAATTTCCTTAAATTTGTTTATCACAGTATCAGCTGTAGCGTTGTTATTTAAGTCACAAATTTCGGGATATTTTGAAAACAAATCCACTATTAACAGATATTCTTTCCCATTAAAATGAAAGAGATCGGCTGCAACAATTTGCCATGGTCTGTTGGGAATCTCACGATCAGTTATTTTTTCTTTACTGTTAGCATTTTGAAATGTCAAACACGTTGGACAATTTTTAACAACGTCCATAACTTCTTTATTTATGTTTGGCCAGTAGATCAATTCAACTGCTTTTAGTTGAGTTTTAATTATGCCAAGATGATTATAATGTAATCTTTTTAGTATTTCGGCTCTTAGTTCTTTTGGTACAATGATTCTTTGATTTCGAAATAAAACATTTTTAATTTCAACTATTTCATGTCGATGTTTAAAATACGGTTTAACTATTTCGTTCACTTCTTTCTTTGAATTTGGCCACCCATCCTTGACTNTTTCCCATTCATTCAAAAATCTAATAAATTTAAAATTAACGAATTGAGGACCATTATCTGTGTATATCAAATCAGGTTTTCCATGCCTGGAAAAATTTTATGAATTAAAATGAATTAAATTCTTCCATTAAAATGAAAGAGATCGGCTGCAACAATTTGCCATGATCTGTTGGGAATCTCACGATCAGTCATTTTTTCTTTACTGTTAGCATTTTGAAATGTCAAACATGTTGGACAATTTTTAATAACGTCCATTCTTTAATGTCCATTCTCTAATTTCTTTATTTATGTTTGGCCAGTAGATCAATTCAACTGCTTTTAGTTGAGTTTTAATTATGCCAAGATGATTATAATTTAATCTTTTTAGTATTTCGGCTATTAGTTCTTTTGGTACAATGATTCTTTGATTTCGAAATAAAACATTTTTAATTTCAACTATTTCATGTCGATGTTTAAAATACGGTTTAACTATTTCGTTCACTTCTTTCTTTGAATTTGGCCACCCATCCTTGACTAATTTTCTTAACTCTTTTAATTCCTGGTCTATATTAGTGATTTCTTGAATTTTTTTAAATAAACTATTTGAAATGCTCATATACTCCACTAAATTAACTTGTGCCTCTATTTCTGTTTCATTTATTTCGAAGTTGTCTTCTTGACTAGCCCTTGATAGTGTATCAGCTATGTATAGCTGAGAACCTGGTTTATAGACTACTTTAAAGTCGTACATTTTTAAATTTAACAGTAATCTTTGTAGTCTTAGCGGACTTTCGTTTAACCCTTTTTTGAATACGTATTCTAACGGTTTGTGGTCTGTTTCCACGGTGAATTGTCTTCCATATAGGTACTGATGGAATTTTTGACACCCATACACTATTGCTAGCAGCTCTTTTTCTATCTGAGCGTAATTTATTTGAGTCTTCGTTA